TAATGCAAAGGTTTGTTATTGCTGATTAAGTTGGAACCATACATCTTACAATCAGTTGATAGAAGGAAAGCAAAATTGTCATTTCACTATCAAAGTTTAAGAGCAAGGTGTGTATTCTTGCCAAGAAAAGTCCACCCCCTGCATGAGTTAGAACACATGAAAAGGACCAGTATCCCTGAGAGAAAAGCCCTCACGATCCTCAAGTACTTGTGCAAGTCCCTGGTCAGCAAGGGCCACACAGCTAGGAGAAGAAATGTCTATATGGGTCTACAACAGTGCTGCCCAGCAGAAGGTGATTTGCCCTCAGGGGACAATTGTAACATCTGCAGACAAGCTTGGCTGTCATAACTGGAGAAGGGATGCTACTGGCACCTAGTGAGGAGAGGTCAGGCACACTGCTATACACCTACCATCTCTTCACACCAATCAGGAAGCTATTGAGAACCCCAGATTATGCTGATTCAAAAGCACACGTGCAGAAGGTGCGATTGATCTAGTGATGGGTCCATGCAGCCTTCAACTTTGGGAAGCCGGAGTAGCATGATGGGGTGTGGAACAGGAGGCTGGGAACCAGAGGACCCCAGCGTGGTAGCATGAGGTCTTGCTTGCATGTTCACTTTCCTTCCTCAATGATAAACTCTTCTAGAGCAATTTGCTTCTTCTCCAAATTCCCACAATTAATTGTTCATTCACTCAAGAATACTCGTTATCTTGTGTTAGATACTAGAAATTGCACCATAAACAGTGATTGGCTTCTAGATCACAATCTATAAAATTATGTTGAATGATTTGCTATTAAACTTGACAGTTTTTGTTGGTCAAGAATATGTGATGGACAAAGTGCCGTAGGGTAAATATTGGATTTTATTAGCCAGTGACGCTGATGTTTATAATGTAGGAAATGTAGATGTTTGTATGCTGATCCAATAGGAACCAACAAGTAAACAAAACTGGGGTAATTACTATTTTAAGAATCTAGAGACGTTTCTGTGTTGGTGTGTGAACAAACACTAAGAGTCAGTCCAGAACCAGTGGACTCATGCAGCTCACTAGCCCTTAATGCCACCCTCATCCTTCCCTTCCTGCCCTAGGAAGCATAGCCCCCAGGCAGCCTAAAATATGGTATCCTGTGTGTCAGCTTCTGAGAGACCTCCAATGTGGATGGTCATACATGTAACCAAAGGCAGGTGGTATGCAAGGGAGAGAGAGGAGTGGAGTATAATAATAAAGCACATTAGCTTAGGAAGTGAGGTATTGTAAAGCCACTTAGAAAGACACTTGATTGGCTCTCAATATTTACTTCCATTGATCAAGAAACTCTCAATATATATATATTTTTTTGGTAGCAGGAATTGAACTCATGACCTCAAGCTTGCCAGACAGGCACTGTGCCACTGAGCTAAAACCCCAGCCCCTAAACTCCCAATATTTTAGCTAGGCAATGGCTACCCAACTAAAGATTTTCTTTTCTACCTCCCTGGCAACAGGTGTGGCCATCTGAAGAGATTCTTACATGACCCTGCAACGTCTGGGCTACTTGGTCCAAAGGAAGCTGCTTGCCTTGGTTCCTTTTCCCTCCTCTGAGCTGGAAGCCTGACCCGCTGCAGTGAGACAGTATGACGATGTGGATGGTGACAGCATCCCAAAGGATGGCAGGAGCCTGGTCTCTGGGATAACATTATAGCGCAGAGCCAAGGTACCACTCTGGATGCCCCATCACCTCAAATTTTCATGTACAAGTAGAAATAAATACACTATCTGGCTTAACCTCTGCTTTTGATTTCTGTTAAAACAGCCAAAGCAATATACAAACTGTCATGGCTTGGATTTGGCATCTTCCCTAAAGGTCCATGTATTAAATGTTTGTCTCCAGCTTTGCACCAGTGGGAAGTGATAGAACCCTTAAGAGGTGGGGTTTAGCGGGAGGTCTTTAGGTCATTGAGGGTATTGCCCTTTGCTCCAAGACAGCTGTGCTCAACTGGCTGCTCCCGCCACGATGTTTTATCTTGCCACAGTTCCCAAAGCAACTAAAAGCTGCCAACTATAGACTGAAACCTTCAAAACTATGATCCATAATAAATCATTCTCCTTATATACTGTCATCTCAGGTGTTATAGTGACTGACACACGGTCTTAGTTACTTTCTCACTGCTGGGACAAAATACCTGACACCCACGAGTTAAAGGAGAAGAGGTTTATTTTGGCTCACAGTTTGTAAAGGTTTCAGTACATAAGCATCTGGCTCCAAGGAAAGGCAGCATGGCAGAGGGGCCTGGCAGAGGAGAAGCAGATAGCACTGGAAACAGAGAGGGAGATCAAGGTAGGAATAAGGGAGATAAACCCTTCGCACAGTGACCCAGCTCCTCCAACCAGGGTTTATCTCCCAAAACCACATTCTAGGAAAATAGTCCAAACCCATCAGTGGACTTATCTCCTGATGATGATCACACCCCCGTGATCCAGTGACCTCCCCAAAGCCTCAGTTATGAGTGCACGAAGATTTGGGAAAACATCTAGACATAAATCATAACACACAGTAACCAATAAAAAAGTTGATTGACAAGTCAATAATTAAAAAGATCTAGTTTGACTATAATGACTGCACACAAATTCCCAGTGACCCATCCCATGTGTGGCCTTTCTGTAGAGTGGATTCTTAGAGTCCTGTAGAAGTCAGCAATGGTTTCCAAAGAGTGGTCTGTGCCTCATGGATCCACTATGTCAGAATCTCCCCACTGTAAAGCTTTTTAGAAATGGGTTCCTGGGTATCCAACTCTAGAGCTTTTCATTCAGTAGGAGATGGAGGGTACATCAGTCAGTTTCCTACCACTATAACAAAATATCTGAAGTAATCAATCTATAAAAAGAAAAGGTTTATTTTGGCTCATGGTTTTGGAAGTTCCAATCCATGGTCAGTTAGCCCTGTTGCTTTTGGGTGTGAAGCAAGGCAACACATCATGTTGGAGAGTATGGTGGAGCAAAACTGCTCACCCCATGGCCAAGAAACAAAAGAGAAGAGAAAGAGATTGAGATCCCACTGTCCCTTTTGCTGGCACACCCCAGTGACCTCAAGACCTCCCAGTAGGTGCCACCATTTAAAGGTTCCTCCACCTTCCAATAGCCTCATAGGCTCAGGAGCAAAATTTTAATACATGGGACTTTGGGGGACATTCAAGATCCAAACTGCCAGGTGCAGCATGTACCAGAGAGACAATGACTTAACAAGACCTTGTCTCAAAATAAAAAGTAAAACGAGCTGAAGCTTCAATCCCCAGTACTACCATCAATCAATCAACCAACCAACCAACCAACCAACCCATCAATCCAAACTATAGCGGAAGGAGTCTAACACCAATCACTTCATCCAGATAATTCTGATGTGCAACGCCGGGATCCTAACCCTCATCCCAAATGGTGGCTCCCCTGCTATGCTCAGTTTCCTGTGGCCTAGGACATCATTTAACCCCTGCATCTGGCCTCCCCTTCCTCCCCACTTTAGGCCCATTTTGGACTCTTCTCCGACTTTTCATCTTTGGCTTCTTATTGCTTCTCAGGTGTGCAGTCTCCAAGCCTTTCAAATCCAAAACCTTCCTCCACCATCAGCCTCAGCCCCAGCGCCTCACCAGAGCTGCTTTCCCTCCTCCGCTGCACCTGCTCTCTGCCACAGGAGCGTTCGAACAAGAAGGTGAGTGTGAAAAAGACAGCCCAGGATAGACTCCTCTGCAACGCTGAGGAAAACCAGGATGGCCTATTCTGTAACACCCCATAAGAAGGCTCCATTGCCTAGGACATGAAAACCTGCAGAGGTTTCCCTCCATTGGTAACAAATTGCAGGCTTAGCAGATGCTGGTGGTCCAGCTCCTCATCTCACAGAGAACCACAGGAAGCACAGGTCCCTTTGTAGTTCCCTGGAAATGATATGCCACCTGGGAATAGGTAAACCCTTGAGAGTTTCTGGCCACTTCTCTGAATTACTCCAGAGTGCTACTTGAAGAGGTCCTAGGGAAGATCACCAGAGAATCTCTCTAAGTTATGGCTTCCTAAGAACCACCTGGAGGGCTTGTAGCCCCACAGATGACTGGGCTGCGTCTCAGAGCTTCACGCTCAGTAGTTGCTATGGACTGAATGCTTGTCCCACCACCAAATTCATGTATTAGATTCCTCAACCCCACAGTGATGATATTAGGAGGTGGGGCTCTGATAGGTGATTATGAGGCTAAAGCCCATAAGAATGGGATTAGTATCCTTATAGGAGAGAAATGGGGCCTTCTTCCACCAGATGAGGACACAGCAAGAAGGAGCCATGCATGAACCAGAAAGCAGACTCTCACCAGACAATGAATCTGAGATGTCTTGATCTTAACCTTCCCAGCCTGAAGATCTGTGAGGAATACATTTCTGTTATCTATAAACCACCAGTCTCTGGCATTTTATGATAGCAACACTAACAGACTGAAGCAGAAGTTCTGAGTTGGGGTCTGAGAATTTGCATGCCTAACAAGTTGCAGGTGATACCAAGGCTGCAGGTTGGAAACCCCACATGAGTACCGCTGCTCTAAGTGTCTGCTGCCTTCCCTATGTGGCTCGTGGAGTTCAGGCAGAGCATTTCTCTCCAGGGGGAACAAAGACCAAAGGTGGGGGAATGGAGCCACGGACAGGAGATGGCACAGTGTCCCAAAACTGGAGCTTGTTCTGTCCCGTACTGGCTGTTTGACTAACACCTCTGACCCTCTGTTCTCTTTTCTGTAAAACTGAGGATACACTATGTAGTTGATAGGGTTGCTGTGGTGATGAAGTGACTAGCCACTGTGTCAGCACCTGTCTCAGGTGCACACTACACGGCCAGGAAATGATATTTCAAGCCTCTGCTTCAGTTTCCCACTATTGTTTCCCACTCATTATAATGAAATTGTTCAAAAAATATTGGAGAGGTCATCAGACTCCATATATGGACGGAATCATTTATTATCTCTCAATCCCAAGGGAAGGAAATCCCTTACCTGCTTAGTTTACATCATTGGTGTCCAACAGTTTGGCTTCTGTGGGCAGCAATGAGTAAAGATGAACTTCCTTGGGCTGCCTATAAAATATATAATATAGTTAATGTATATGAAAACCAAAGCTCTCTTTATTTTTATATTTTTAGTATAACATTTTTTAAAGGGAGGCAACATAAAACTGAATATTTGACCTTGTTTTTATGAATCTAATGCATCAGTTCCCGGTTTGATGAAAGTGATTCCTCAAATTCAATAAGTAAATAAGAAAACTTACATGTCTACTTATGAACAACAAGTGCATGTCTTCACAGGTGCACACACATAGGCAGGTTGAAATGCAGTTACTGGTAATCACTGCCTGTAACATCTGACACACGTGGGCTTTAATTTGACTAATGTATGTGGACTGCATGAGAGACAGAGTTCGTCTTGCATTGTCCCTCCCCTATCCAGTGTTCTGCTGTCCCTTACACAGTCCCTGCTCAAGCGCTGCACAATATATTCATGAAAAATATCGCTAAAAGTCACGCAGCAATGCGAAAAGTTTACAATCTTGCCAGGCACATCTGGCCTATATTTTCATCTCGGAGGCTGCTCCCTCCAGCTCTTGTTGCCATTTGCAAAAGCTCTATTTCCTTTTCTCTGTTCTCTTTTTCTATCCCTTTTCCATTCTTCCCATCTCCCCTCCCTCCATCCCTTGTTCTCCTTCCCATTTGAAAAGCTCTCCCTACTTCTTCTCTACCTTTTATTTTGGGTTTCTCACATAAGAGAAACCACACAAAATTTATTTCACTTAACATTATGGTCTTGAGGTGCACCCATTTATCTACAGTTGCAAGTTTATTCTTCTTTATGGCAGAAAAAATGAAGTAGAGGAGAAAAAGGGTTGGGACCATAGCTCCGCGTGAAGGCCCTAGGTTCAATTCCCAGTACCATGATAAAGAAAAAGAAGCAGTAAAATTTACAGCCTTGCGGGGCCACATTACTAGCTTTCCAGGGCTGTGTGCAGCACTCAGGTTGGACACACCTGCTTGCACTGTAACCTTCTGCGGGGGGCAACTAGAAAAACATTTTCTGCATGGCTTGAATAGTTTTAAGCGTTCAACTCACTCACTAGACAGGGGAAACGAGCTTTATTTTCTCTAACATTGTACATATCAGGAGTCAGGGAAATGTTTTCCAGAAAGAGGTACTTCTGTGATTTGCATCAGCAGCTTACCAGCCTGGTTGGGAGTTTTAGTCATACTTTCCAGTGGGAGAAAAAAAGACAAGTGTCCAAACGTTATACATTGTAGCTTTAATATCCCCTCGAAAGCTTCAGGCACCTGCCAGAACCTCCCATCCTGTTATAGTTGTCATCTAAACTGTCCCCTGAAAAGCTCATTGTATTGAAGGCTTGGTTACTGATGGCTTTTGGGAAGGGATGGCATCTTGGGGACCCTAACTTCACCCAGTGGATTAATCCATGGATGAGGTCTTAATTTGATGGCGTTATTGGGAGGTGATGAGAACAGGTGGTGGGGCCCAGGTGGAGGGGGTAGACCACGGGGGTGAACTCTGGGGACTCTGTCTGATCCCTGGCCCCTTCCTAGCTGGCTTTTTCCAACTCTGATTTCTGGCTGCCACAGGGCAAGTAGCTCTGCTCTGCAACACCATTCTGCCATGATGTTTTTGGCTGGGAGCCAGCATGTAGACCTCTGAAATCGTGAGCCAAAATAAACCATTTTTCCTTTAGGTAATTAGTGTCTGGTATTTGGTCACATGAGTAAAAGCTGGTTAGCACACCTCTAGAACAGGAAAAATCTAGGATGTAGCTCAGTGACTAAGCACTTACCTATGATATGCAAAACTCTGGGTTTGAGCTCCAACAACACACACACACACACACACACACACACACACACACAGAGAGAGAGAGAGAGAGAGAGAGAGAGGGACATGAATAAAATAGGAAAGCAGGGGCCCCAATCACTCCCCTCTGCTGGACTCCCAGCTTCTATTGGAGCTTCCTGAATATCCACCACATCTTTCTCAATTTCCCAAAAGTTAATTGTACAATCTCTAGACTACCCAGATGTTTTACTGCTCCCTTTCTTTTCTTGGGAGTCATTTATTTTTTACCTCTTCAAGACAACAGTTGAGTATTTTGTACACGTGTGGGCTCAAGAGATATCACTGTCTGGCTGGGTGATGTCTTCTGTCTGCCTTTTCAATATTTTTCTGTTCATAAGCTTCAGAGTAATCAGAAAAAAATAAAGGGAAGTAAAAAGAGGCAACGCTTGTTAGCCAACTCTGATAAATGCATGGAAGGTGAGTGAGTAGGGGAAAGCGATTAGGGAAGCCACAAGGCTGGTACTAGTGACTTAGTAACCATACTGAAGAATTTCCAAGACTACGTTACCCATTTTCTGCTTCCAACCAGTGCAGGGGTAAGACTTGGTACTTTCATGTCCTCTCCTAAGTATTTTACCTGTGCCATTCCCATACTGGTCAGCAGCTGGTTTAGAAAACGTTTCCTCCATAGATCAGGCCTCTGAGCCATGAGTCGGTGCTCTGTGCAGCTATAGCAAAGTGGCCCATTAAGGACACATGGAGATAACCAAAGTGGCCCATTGGTGCAACAACAGGAGGGCAGAAATAGCCAGAGGAAATGGCTTAACTGTAACTACCACAATTTATCACCTAACCTCTTCAGGGCTCTGCCTCACAGTAAGTGGCACCATCATCCCTCTAGTTGTTCAAGGCTGTAATCTAGGGACAGTTTCTGGCACCTCCCTCTCCCTCAAATTTTCTCCACCTCCATATTCAGTCCAGCATCGTGCTCTACTGATCCAAATGTACCGGTTAAATATCCCCTGCATTTGTCCATTCCTGTTACTTCTGTATGTCTCAGTTCAAACCATCACCTCACATCTGTCTGCAGCCCTAACTATTCTCCAATCTCTGCTCTACACTGTGATGGAGTAGCCTTTCTACCTGTTCTCTGATTTTTAAAATCATTCAATGACTTCCACTTGCTTTTAAAACAAAGACAAAACTTCACTGGGCCCTGGATGGTCTATGTGTAGCCAGCTTTCCTTTACACATGACAACCCAAAGCAAAGAGAGAGGAGGGTGAGGAGTCAGGGTCCCAGGATGCTCTTCAAGGGTTCACTCCCAAAGACCTAACTTCCTCCCACCAGGCCCTACTTTCTAAGGGTTCCCTCACCTCCTAATAGCACCACAGGCTGGGGACCAAACCTTCAACATATGAGCCTTTGGGAGACACTCAAGACCCAAAATAAAGTGTTCTGGCCTTGCTTACCTCTCCAGTCTCACCAATAGCAGTGCCTGGTACAGGGGAAACCCTCATATTTATTACCACATAGAGCTGTTGATTAAATTACTAAATTAATGAATAAATTTTAGCAACTCTCCCTTAGAACTTTGTGAAATTATCCTTCAACCATCAATAGAATCTTTTTTATCTTTCACTACTGTTGAACCCAACATCACTCTACCACTGAGCTACATCCCATCTTTTTTGTTTTTATTTTGAGACAGGGTCTCCTCATTAAATTGCTCACACTGACCTCAAACTTATAATCCTCCTGCTTCAACCTCCCAAATAGCTGGGATTACAGGCTTGTGCCACTTGGGGACTCTTTAGGGGGTCTCACGCCATAACAACAGACACCAGGCTCTAATTAAAAGTCAAGCTCTACTGTGTCCCGGTGTTGTGGATCCCACGTTACTAGGCCCCCCTTTTTATCCATCCCATATATAACTCTTGGCTTTCTTTTTATCACTCACCCCAGTAAGGATTCTATAGCCTCATGTGTTTACCATTTCTTTAAATTCTTTTTTTTTCCTTTGGTTTTTGAGACAGGGCCTCATTTTGAATGCAAGTTGGTCCTGAACTCTCTATGTAGCCCAGGTTGGCCTTGAACTAGCAGCAATCTCCTGCCTCGGCCTCCTGAATGCTGAGATTACAGGCATGTGGCTTAAAATGTTTACTGAATATGTTTAATGAGAATTTATTTTTAAATCTTATTTAGTTAATTGAATTATCTGATACTTAATCTTATTTCTCAGGATTTAAGAACTTGGCTATTTTATTAATATGTTTTCATGATCCACGAGGGCTTCTGTGGCCCTGCAATGTCACCCATTCCTTGGGGCCCTCTTTTCCTTCTCCTCACATATGTAGCCCCCACCTAGTCTGCCCTAAACTCGTAAGAGACACCCACACGTAGCCAAGGGCTTAAACTTTTCCAGTGTTTGGGCCCCCAAACCCAGAGGCACTAGTTCAATACTCTTGGAAGGATTCCAGAATCTATATTTTAACCAGCTCTGTTGTACCCAGGTATTTGTATAAGAATACTCTCTGCTGCTTCTCTGCTCTTGGCCTTCTGTGGCATGGGCCCAAATCCCTGTTTCTGTACCATAGTCTGAAAGGGGGTAGCCTAAAGAAATAGTCAATCTTCCAAAACAGTGTTTCTAGGAACATCAAAGTACTATTGAACTACAGTTGTCTGGATAACATAGACCAGCCTTTCTTAGAGACACAGTTTTATTCAAATAAGAAGACAATAGGACTTTTTCTTGGAGGTATGTTCATTGTCATGAAATACATGGTCAGTTTATACTTTGAAAGTTTTCAATATCCCACATATAAAAGAATGATGTATGGAGATCTTAGCATAGATTCTGGAACAGAAGAAATATTTTTTGAATGAAGAAATGATTCAAATTTAACCCCCTTCACCAAAAACTATCCCTATTAATGGGTTACCTTTGAAGTCAGGCTGGGCAATCGTAGAGACAGCCTCATAAGTACTTTGCCATCTTCTAAATTTGGAAACTGAGAGTCAAACATCAACCAGCTGAGTCTTATCTGATTGAAAGTAGAGCTTATGATGGGCTCTATTGAGATAAAATATTAATCAGATGATTGATTGAATTTTTGCAACAGTCTCATTTTGCATACAAAAGCTATTAAAGTACACTTAAAATCCCATGACTTATACTTTTTACTCTGAATGCCCTACCAATGCAAAGCTGGAACAACCATAGTTTAAGTCAAATTAATTTTTTTTATATTTGTAAAGACAATTGAAAAATAGTAAAGTAGCATGGCAGGCTGACTCTCCCTTCCCTGAATCTGACCAGGATGAAGCCGCTGCAGAAGAGACCAGAGGGTGGAGCTGGGAGTGGAGCTCATCCCTGAGAAGGAGTGTGCCCTGGGATAGGAAACAGCCAGAGCTGCTGGATTCTTTCCTTCCTTTTGTTCCCTTTTTCTTCCTTTGCACTTGTCCAGGGAGATCAAGCCCAGTACCCAGGAAAGTTGAGAATGAGAAGGTAAAATAAGGGCAATGCTAGTGCCCACTGGAATAGGAAACACAGCAGGTGGACAGGCTGGCAGGAATTCGAGCGCCTTTCTTTCCCCATTCATGTATGACCAACTTTCTGGGACAGAAGTTCTAGACAATTCCCTGGAGGGTGGATAACATCAAAAGTAAGGAAAACAGAAAGAAACAGAAGGTCCCAGTTTGAAAGAAAAGGGTACAAAACAGCAGAGAACTACTGAGCACTTTCTATAGTGCCTGTAGTTAAATTTTATGATTTAAATTTGTTTGGGTCATATTCTTATTTAATAAAGCATTTTCTTACTTGATAAGATATTCATCATAAAATTGCTCTAAAAAGTAATACTTTTCAAAATATTCTTCCATCTATCATAAACTTGTCTATACCCCACTTCTCTGAGAAAACTCATTGCTTAGAGCTAGTCATACTTATGTTAACATTTTAAATATTTAGGTGATATAAAAATGGTGAAGACAGGTTTGCTATTTCACTGGGGAAAATGAGAACTCAACTTCATTACAGTATAAAGAGCCTAGTGTAAATACGAAGAAAAACATTGATATTAAGCACAGTCACACACACAAACAAACTGCCAATTCGATTTGTTATACGGATACCCTCACACCAGTCACAAAAGATGAGTACCCCCCCCCAACTTTAACAGGCTAATTTTGGAGTAGAGAGAGTCCATTAGTAGAGATTCCTTGATATTCACAATTTCTATATTTAAAAATATCTCCAATCTGGTTATTGTACATTTTTTAGATCTTAAAGTGATCAGAATGGTCATTTCCTTGGATCTGCTCATTTCCACACACGGGATGTGGAAACTGAGGCCCCAGGAAGTCAGATCCAGGACTCTACAAAGTCGGGGTTTGCTGCACAGCCCCCTGACCACAACCCAGGGCAGTCAACCAGTCCTCTCTGATCCCGGTAGTGCTCTGTCTTCTCCATGGTGTGCTGAGCACCCTTTCATGCTCTATTACTGCTGTTTTGGTTTCTATTCATGTAGCTACATCCCTTTATTAAATCCAAACTGAACCCCAACACTTTTCCTTTTGACCTTTGTTGCCCACTATTAATGGTCCACAGCAGCTCTATAAACTTTAAATTTTTCTGTTTTGAAATTATAATCCTACTCGGTAAGGGCCACATCTCCTCCAATATTACATTTGATGGAAAATGTAATCAAGGTGTTGAACAGCAATCTTTGTGATATTTGATTCTAATAATGAGGTGGTAGAGGTGTCATTTAGGACTTCTACCATTGAAACCATAATTTTTAGAAGTGGGAAGAGTAGTGTGGGAAAATATTCTCACCGCTAGTGAAAAATCACGTTTTCACAGGGTTTGCAAACAGGGAAATATTTGTGGTTTTGTCTCATATGTTTTGCTTTTTTTGGCAAAAGCAAAAGGCAGTTTTCTTTGCAATGAAAACGGCCTTTCGTTTTCGCCAATGCTTCACATCCATTTTTGCCAAGCAAAAAGCTGTTTTCCCAGGAGAAAACAGCTCAAGCTGAAATAAAAGTGAGGCACTATTTGTAAAATTTCCCTCTTTGAAAACAAAAATCACTCCACTCGATGCAAATGCCACCTGAGGGGTTCTGCACGGAGAAAGATAGGAGGGGAGTCATGGTTAAAATACACATGGAGACAAGCTTATCTAGAAGATAGAAAACAAGTCCAAGGCTGCATGGGTGGTAGTTTTAAAATCATGTCCAGAATTTAAACGTCTGGACTTCACCTCTGTGTTCTAAATGTGCCTGAAGATTAACTACTAAACTGGATATGGTGACATGTGTCTATAATCCCAGCTACTTGGGAGGCTGAAGGAAGAGGATCTCTTGAGCCCAGAAGCTCAAGACCAGCCTGGGAAACAGGGCAACAAAGATTCTGTTAAAAAAAAAAAAAAAAAAAAAACCCTCAAAAAAGCACAAAACTTAAAATGCTGCTTGTTTGTAGTACCCTCATGCCACTTACTCTAGATAGCTTCTGTATTAGTGACATTTTCCTTATTATTACTACACCATGATCCATTTTGAAATGCTGAACATTTAGAAGAGTAGGCAGTACCTCCATTTCATGTAAGTTCATCATTCAATGAATGGAGAAGACACGTGGCTCATGTGGTTGGCTTAGTCAAGGAGACTGAAGCTCGCCATGTTGATGTAAGTACCAGAATCTGAACCAGGAGTTCTGAAGTTCTGATTCCTTTCTCCTTGTGTTTATCCAGTGTGGTTCGGTTTGGCTTGGTTTTGGTTTGTTTTGTGCTGGGGATTGAACCCAGGACTCATACATACTAAACAAATGTTTTTAGTTCTTATTTTGCAGCAGGATCTGCTAAATTGTCTAAGCTAGCCTTGTATCCTCCTACTTCAGCCTCCTAGACTTAGCTGGGGTTATAGGCATGTGCCACCATGCCCATTTTACCCTGCTGCTCTGTATAATAAACTCTGATCAGAATTTCCCAACGTGGTTATGGAATTTGTTTTTATTTTTGTTATATTTTGCTTTACTTTGCATTTCCCTTAGCACAATATCCACATCTTTTTGAAATGCCAGAACCTATATTTCATCAGGCCATCTCTGAGGTGGAAAAGATAACCTTTACAAAAAAATTTTAGCTTTGAAAAAAACAGAAGGCCTCAGTAGCAATTGCAAATAGATGATAAAGCAATTGTCACTTTTATAGTACTGGGGCATTTATTACATAGAAAAATAAAAGATTGGAGCCCATTTTAATTAATAGTGACATTTAATGAGCTATTCTTTGATACTACCACTAGAGAGAGTTTTTGATTCCATGGTCCTTAATTCATCTCAAGTTAGATTTTGGCTCTAAGTTTCCACATTTATCAGACTAATTGGTTTATAGTGCCTCATTTCACATTCAAGAGCCAGAAGTAACTATTTTGTGTAAATTCCAGCCCAGCTGTGGCTATGCAGGGAAACCTTTGCTGATATGCCACAGCCAGCCAAAATTTCACCTTATCTCTCCACCTGTCCCAGTCCTAGCCAGTTTCTTCAAATAAGAGGCCAAGTCATACCTCATGGAAAGCAAGAGATTTCTCAGATCTCACAATCTTCCTAGTTTCTCTATCCTCTCTAACTTGCAGTATTTACAACTGTACCTTAAAAAATGGCAAGATTTTTGGTAAACATACATATCTTTACCACAACAAGAAAAACTTAGAAAAATGTGTAGTTATTTTAACCAAGGCTGTGTTTAAGCCTAGAGAACTAAAAAATAAGTATGTATGCAATTTTTCCCCTTAAAAATTGACCACTTTACTGTGGGTTGCTTGGGCTTGGATTGTTTCACCTGTGTACATTAAGTATCCTGAACTAAACTGATTGTGAATTTCCTGAGAGCTTGAACCATGTCTAAACCTCTTATAGGCCCCTCTCAAGACTTAAAACAGTACTGAGACACAGCAGATCATAAATCAATAATTATCGATCGATTAAGAAGGATTTTTATGTCATCGAACACACACAATTGGATGCATCGCTTTAAAATATTAAATGAATATGGGGAACAGAGCCTCACGGAAATGACAAAAATCTTGTATCTCAAAACTCCATTAATACTACTTTTTTTTTTTTTTAATCTGCCATTGTCCTACTGTCTGTAAGACGGAGATATCGCGGAAGAAGAAATGGAGCAAACCCACGGGTAGTAAACAGCAATTTGCAGTAACTAACTCTGATACCATGGACAGCGCCTCAGCGTTTTCTATGATTCGACACTCATTCAATTGACTGAGTGGGAGATTGGATTAAATGAACCCTCAGAAAGCAAACAACCAAGAAAAGAGGAGTGGGCAGGGATAGAAGCAGCATGAAAGGCAGCAGAACAGTGGTACCCAATTAGTGCATTAATGCACTTCCAAAACCCCTAGGGCGCCACTTGGAAGCCTCAGGCTTCCTGTCTCCTTGTGTGTGGTGGGAGGCTGGGGCCTCTTCAGAGGCTACATCAGCCTGATGATAGCAGGACATCTGGAGCGTGTCTCCGGGTGCCGAGTCATCCCTAACTGACAAGGGGAGAGGAGGCTGGGGCCAACTCCAGCCTGAGTGGCTCTGATGCTTGTAAGCTTCTCGCCTTCCAGCATGCTCCGCAGAAGGGCCTGGAGTTCAGCGAGGGCAGGACCTGTGTCTGTCACCCTGCTCTCTCTAAAGCAAATATTAAGAAGCTGACATTTATCAAAATGAACAAACACCTGCTGCCAGTGAATCGTGCCCTGAATCACGACACACAGAAGAACATCTAGCGAGTTTGCAGTGCTCACACTGTGGGCCTCCAAAGGCTTTTGTTCACACTGAGCATGGTGACCCTTGTCAAAGGGGCATCCCTGCATCCATGCTTTTGCTTCGGAGGATGGAAGGAAAGAAGGAAGGTGTTCAGGTTCCTTCTCAAGGTATGCCCCAGTCTCAGCCTTTCTTTCCTTATTTCTCATATACAGCAGTTCATTTATATGCACATAAAATTCATCTCTGTGTGGGTGGAAGTAGCCCCAACTTACTTCCGTGCTGTTCACAGAGTTATTTTGATTATTGGTACATTATGTGCTATCTGTGTAACTCACTGTACTTAGAGAAACAAATGTTGGACTCTGGAGGGGTAAAATCCAGTTTAATTGCTTAACTCTCTTGTTGCTATCAGGGAGAGCATTCTTTCCCAACACTTTTCATCCAGTACTGATAGCAAGCTGAGAGTGGTGCCTCACACCTGTAATCTCAGCCTCTTGGGAGGCTGAGGGAGAAGGATTGCAAGTTTGAGGATAGCCTGGCAATTTATCTAATCCTGCCTCAAGAAAGAATTACATTTAAAAAGGGCTGATGATGTAGCTTAGTGGTAGAGTAATTGCCTAGCATACGTAAGACTTGGGCTCAGTCCCCAGTACCAAACACACACACACACACACACACACACACACACACAAAGCTTTTATCACTAAATCTGGATCTATACCTTTAATAATAACAGTGATATGAAAATAATGACAGTGGTAACATGGATTTCAATGACCTAGAATTGTGCTCAATGTCCTCCATTTTTGTCACACAAATTCAAATTGGTGAATTTGTGTGCTCCATATCCTTTGCTGAAGAACTTGGATGACATGGAAGATCTTTTTCCTTTCTTTTTTATTCGTTCTTTTCCTTTCTCTCTTTCCTTTCTCTTTTTCCTTCCTTCTACCTTTCTTTTCTTTTTTCTTTCTTTTAAGAGCTGGGGATTGAATTCAGGGCACCACACATGCTAAGGATTACTACTACTACTATTGCTACCACTACTATCCTTAAAGAAATGAGATCTTGCTGTGTTGCCCAGGCTGACTTCAAACTCTTGGGCTCAAGCAATCCTCTTGCCTCAGCCTCCTGAGTTGCCATCGGCACATGCCACTATCCTAAGCCACCATGCGAGAGCTTATTCTTGAACATAATTTCAGTTGCTTACAGGTAAGTATTTGGTTGGTTTGGGAGAGAAAGCTAATAGTTATTGAGTGCTGTGCTAGTCACATTTCCATCACTGTGACAAAATCCCTAAGAATAATAACTTAAAGGAGGAAAGATTTACTTTGGCTCATGGTTTCAAAGGTTTGGTCCATGGTTGTCTGGTTTCATTGTTTTTAGGTATGTGGCAAGGCACACACATGCTGGCAGTGGGAGCACGTGGGGGAAGAGCTGCTCACCTCATGGCAACCAGGAAGCAAGGAGTCCAAGCTAGAGAGGAAGGGGCTGGGGATGAGATATTGTTCCCCCATTGCCCACTTCCTTCAACCAGGCCCCACCTCTTAAGTTTCCATCACCCCCAGTAATGCCATCAAATGAGAAATCCATCAGTGGATTAATCTGCTGATGAAGTTGGAGATCTCATGATCTAATCACTTTTTAAAAGCCCCTCAGCTGGCAACCAAGCCCCCAACACGTGCCCTTTGGGGGACACTTTAGATCCAAACCGTAAAAAATGTACCACACATACAGTAGGCATTTTCACAAGTCTTCTTCCACTAATGATGCCCACAACACCTCTGGAAGGTGAGTCTTGCTAACCTTACCATGGGGATGAGAAAACAGAACACAGAGAGGTAAAATCTCTTAACTGTCACGCAGCTAACAAGAGGCAGAGACAGGATTCAGATGCAAGATTGCCACTACCCACATCCTCTCTGCCTTGGGTGCCACCCCTCCTCCTACTGCGTGCAGAATCTGGGGACGAGTGCTGAGATCAAGCATCACATTGACAGCAAAAGGAAACACCAAGTGGACCCTATTCAGGGCATCGTGAACGTGTTCCCTTCGGGGCTCTCTGTAGTGCTGGGCACTTGCAGAAAGAACCTTCCTTTCTATCCAAGCCCTGTGAAGGTAGCTCAGGCATATCCAGGTCACTACGCATTCTGTCATGTTTTGCAAACATTTTAAGGCCATGTTGGCTTTGAATTACTCCCTAACCTCTGGCTTTGGTTTTTCTACTTCTAGAGATAGCAAGATCTACCTGAGAGGGCAGCAAAAAAAAAAAAGTATCCTTCATTGAAATGAAGATCTCAAGAGTTGGGGGTATAGCTCAGTGTTAGAACATATACTGAGTATTCACAAGGCCTTGGGTTCATTCAAACCAAAACTCTGACTTCAGGGACAAGAGTGCTTAATCTCCACAGACTCTTCAGCCACCTATCAAAGTTCAGAGATGAGCTCTGCCACTGACTGATTAATCTTAGGCAAATTGTTCCTTCTTCTTAATCTCCTCATTTGTAAAATATGAATAAAGGGGATTTTTTGAGCTAATGTGCCTACACCACTGACATGATGCCTGAGACTTACAAAGGGTCTTTTAGTCATTGCTGCCATATAGACAGATTCTCCCCTTTCTCTTATGGCAAAGACCTTGTGGGAAATTTCTTTGCCTCCTTTGGAGCCATGGCATGGCTGGCCAGAGTCTTTCTGAGCACCTAGACTTACTGCGCTTGGGAGAAGAAACTTGTTTTCTGGTCCATATACCCTTGAAACAGCCCTAGACTCTTTATATTTATAGATATATTCCTCCTGTCAGGCTTCTGTGATTTGGAAAAGGCAAGGTAGCAATTTCTGGTTCCTTGTGTGGGTTATGCTGTGATTGAGGCTGGAGTCACATTCTTCCCATCAACCCTTCACGGGCACCAGCCTTGACAATACATCACTCTCTCTCACCCCATTCACAAGTCTCTGTAGTGTAGGAGTGGTTATCACGTTCACAGAACATCCCAACTCACGGGTTACAAATGTGTTCTGTACCCTATCATTGTTTCACAGGGTCCAAAAGAACCACTGAGATGAAGAACCTTGGCCTCTTGGACCTTCCAGCTGTATCTTTTCATTAACCTTCCAATTTCTTTTACACCTACAAAAACCCAAACTACTGACTTACTCCTGTTTTCATGACAGCGTCCTGGCATCAGTGTATATATTTGGATGAGTTTGCTGAAGTTGGAAATGTTTATTATGTCCCGAGAGCTCCACACTGCTGCAGTGGAGAAGTGTGCCCTGGTGCTGGGAGTGCAGCTCCGTGGTAGTGGGTGTGTTTAGCACGCATGCGCCGTGCCCTGGGTTCTATCCCCACCACCAAAACCAAACCAAACCAAACAGAGAAACAGGCCTTGGGTGTATTTTAAGACATGTGTTTTTAATGTCTCTTTTTATCCTCCATTTCCACAAGTAGAATTTTTTTTAAAATATGTAATGAGATGTCTCTTTAAGATCTTGACTAACATTTAAAGAATACCGGCCTACCCTTTGAGGCACTGAAGAAAAAGCCAAGAACAAAAAAGACAGCTCCTCTGCTCTTAAGGAACGTGCATTCTAGCAGGAACAGCCAGTAAACGTGTAACAAAACAAACAGGACCGTTTGTGCTGAGTGCTCTGGCGAAAGGGAGGAAGAGGAGGCAAAGAAGGAAGCCGAGAGAGGGGAAGCAGGGGGATACAGTAAAGAATAGGTCAGGGTGGCAGCAGCAGGTTTATCTGAGGTTGAGTACTTGGGAACATCTTTTGTGAAGCAGTAACATTTCAGCTGACATAGGGAAGAAGCAGCATTTTAATTAGGAAAAGTGTATTCCAGATAGGAGAAAGAGCAGGTGCAAGGTCCCTGGGGCAGAAAAGAGCATGATATCCAAGCTAGCAAAAGCATGCCAGCATGACTAGACTTAGGAGGTCATTGGTACAGCATGAGACTGGAGACATAAACAGCTGTCATAGCAGGCAGGGCCTGGGGGCTGTGGTGAGGAGTTTGCTTGATGACAACATGTCTAACAAATTAGCACTGCAGGCTGGACTCACACAAAGATCCAGTCTTCCTCTACTAGGGCAGACACTTCCTGCAACTTTAACATTGGCTGCACCATGATTTTCTGACAACCCCACCAAAAAGGAAGAAAACACAGAGGAAGGAAGCAAGTTTTAACAAAAAGTTTCCAAGCTATATGGAAAGGGTGCGGGGGATAAATCTTTAGTTCCAGGGCTCCTGTTCTTAAAGTCATGGCGGCCCTCTTCTGGTCTGTTGCAAAGACACTGTGAATACCAATTTAAGTTCCTTTGAGTAATAGTTTTAATTGCTTTAATGTCAATTTTGAGTATCAGAAAGAGAAAAGTTTGCCTACTATAGATTCATTCAAAATTCCAGACTTAATTCACTAGTGCATTCACATAAATAACATAGCTTATGCCTTGCCCCATGATCTGAATTTAAATTGAGATTAGGCTGTGACAGCTAATTTCTCTGTTATATGCCAACAACCAGAGTCCAATGTTAAGAAACAAAACGTAGAGAAACAGGATCGTATAAATTCCTTTTAGATGAATTAGACACTAAATGAGACTTTAGATAATTGCCCTGGATAATTTGTTAGCCTAGGCATTAAATGTTATTGCTCCATTTTAAGAGAGTGTCAGTTTCTTCTGGAATGTAGTCCAAACTCTTATTTTAAGTAATTGATGGAAGAGAATTTAGAAAATTAATGCCACTTAAAGTCTTTCCTTTTATTGTTTGTTTTAATTTATGGAAAGACTCCACCCTGTTCCTTGTAACATCCAAAAAGTAAAGAAAAAGACAACCTACCATGGGAAAACCGTAGAGAGCATCATCTTCCCCACCACAGTGAAGGGGAAGAAGATTTAGAAATATGAACATCCTCTCAGGCAGATTTAATTAAATATCAAAATGTTAATAAAGCATTTGTCAGTGCTCTTTTTAATTACTTTGAGAGCAATACACTCCCCCATGTTCATTTTCCAGATGAGAAAATTGAGAATCATGATTCATAAAATAATCTCTAGGACAATGTCCTTTACAGTCTCTAGCCAAGAAGAAATCATCGTCTCACCTTCTGCTCTTTCTTGCAAAACTAATGCTAATCAGGGTCCTTCCATGTCTTTGAAGCCAGGAAGTACTCATCTCTCCAAATTTACAGAATAAAATCACTTTTCTAACAGTTCCTCTTAGAATGGGCTCCAAATTGCAAAATTTAAAAAAAAAAATAGAGCATACATCGCTTCTCCATATTTATATCTTCTGTATTTACATCAGAAGTGAATTTTAATTTAAGAAGCACAGCAACTTGTATTTTAAGAACAAATTAGCCTCATTAGTTAGTGCAAAATGCTGCTCCTCCAACTATCATTCTGAGATTTTTTTAAAAACTTTCATTTATCTTTCCTTTGCCACCAGAAGCCAATCCTCAGATTAAATGACAGCCTCCAGCCACCCATGGAGATATCATGGCCTTCAATCATGGCATTTGGTCACTGTCTTTTGCAGATATCAGGGGTACCAAAAAGAAAGGGAAAACTAAGCCATCTGACATAAGGATTTACATGGGGTGTATACTAAAATCAAATTTAAAATGGCCACCTCTGAATGAGACTTAGTAAAGAAACATCCAGGAAGACTTCTGGGGTTTTGATAGACGACCATTTCCACTTAATTTTTCAGGGCTGAAAGGTCACAGTCAGAGAGAATCTAATGGCTTTGGAATGAAAAGTATGATAACAATGTAAACTCATATTTTTCAGCGGTGACCCTCCTTTAACTCCCCTAAAAAGATAATCACAGTCTTTATTCTCAACAAATTTTCCTTCTTGTGGATCTTTAGTCCTCCATTTTAAGCTACAGTACATACTTATATGCTAATTATATTTTAATAATTCTTGCATAGGACATGTAAAAAGATTGAGGAAATAGTTTTAAATTCACATGTTCTGTGCTTGTCACTATTTTAAGCCAAATCAGGCAGTCCACTTTTCTTATAAATCAGCCCATCACGTGCTAATCACTTTTGTTGCTTTATGCTGATTTCCCTCTAGTTCCTCTCTGTCTGTCTGCTCCAGGACACTCAGACCTGAACACAATATTTCAGGTGTGTTTTTGCCAAATATACTAAATTACTCCACCTCTCCCTCATGGTGTGATGTCTCCACGTGTACAGCCCCAAATCACATTAGCTTCCATGGCATATTGCAAACACGTCTAATTTGTAGTCCATTCTCCCCCTGGTCTCTCTGGCATTACAGCTGTCTGAATTTTTTTTAACCTCCTGTTACTTTTATAGCTCCCCCACCACCTTCAAAACATTAGGGCTATTCCTGTTTCACTTAATTCTCATTTCACTTGATCTTTTCCATATTTTTAAACTTAGGAACCCTGTGTAGCACTTCTCTTTATTCGCTGGTTTCCAGTGCTTCTTGATTTAATTTCATCTGCAAATCTAATTAACATGCTGTTTACTACATTTTTCTCCAGGTTACAAATGGACACACTCAGAAAAGAACTGCACTAACAGGGATTCCCGGGGCCCTTCTCAGCGCCTCTCCTACCGGGATAGACTCAGAAAGTGCAATTAACTTTCTGCAGCTCAGGGGATGGTTGCTTCAGCCACTTTGCACCATTTTGATGGACAGCTGTGTCTCTCCCTTAATCAGCCAATTTGGAGATAGAACAATTACAAAAGATAGCAATTACTGAATGCAGTCTGTCATTGTGGAGATGAAAGATGAGCAAAGGAAGAGAAAAAAGAAGAAATGGCCTAAATTTACAGTTGGGTGGTTAAAAAAAAAAGAATGGTCTCGGTTCTACTTAGGGAGTGGACCCAAGCAGGAAGAGGCTGAAAAGTAAAGAGACTTCTAGATTTAGAGAAGCAAAATGCAAGCCTGGTTCCCCAGCAAGCTTCCAGCCCATCTCCAGTCTTTCCATAACCAAAGACTAGTGCTTGCTTTTTGTTGTTTTTATTGCTCTAAAGATTCTATGAGTTTCTTAAAACCATGCTGTGATATTTACACAATTACTTTTTGTCTTTTGTACTAGAGATCTAACCCAGGGCCTCACACATGCTAGACATGTGCTTTGTCGCTGAGCTACATCCCCGCCTTGCGCAGTTAATAACTCTTAAGGTATTGTCTTATATCTCTAATTTTGTGGTTGTTATACTCGAAATATAGTTCACTTTGTTCTGTAAAGTGAAGGAAATGATTGCAAAATCTTTTACTCTAGTGATTATAAACTATAGGGCTTTAAGGATATGGATGTCTCTTCAATATTTTTTCTTTTTTTATTCAGTAATTCCAAGTTGTTTGTGTGTTTGTTTGTTTGTTTTAGACAGGGTCTCACTATGTAGTCCAAATTGTCCGTGAACTCACTATGTAGCCCACACTGACCTCAAACACTTGGCGATCCTTCTGCCTCAGCCTCCCAAGGATTATAGGCATGCCTAGGCAAATTCTTAATCTTTCCCTAAATTCTCTTTAACAATTGTCCCAAAAGCACCATGTATATTCTTCATATAGAGAGAAAAGACCCCCCAAATGAGATACCAGTCAATGAGAAAATATTATTTCCCAACTTTAGTAGTCACAGTTCTTATAATATTAAGAAAACAGCATAAGGAAAATAATATACATCTCCATTTAAATATATTTTTCAGAATGATTTCTAAGGAAATGTGTTTTTAAATATAGGAGCATGTGAATAAGAAAGGTAATGTTTTAAAAATCAGGTCTTTGGCAGAAGTCATGTTGAAAACTTGCAGTGCTTAATACAGAAACTCTTCCCACCAGAAAGGAGAGACAGACCACTGTAAAAAGATGATTCCCAGGGAAACGTTTTCTTATTTTGGGAGGATAGAATCACGCTGGAGGACCTTGTTTATGAATATTTTAGAAAAGTCTTGTACATTGCCTGTCTCCAAGTTGTTCCATTCTCATGAATGAAAGAAATAGAAAGGGGAAACCACATAAAATTCCTTTTGACACCAAAGCTTCCCGGAACCCTGAGATAGGTAGAGGATGCTCAAGTAGCATTTCTGCTTTGGACAGGCCCAGCTACAGACTATCTGGAGATGACAGCAAGGTAAATGTGTTCTCTAGAACAAAATGAGGTTAGTCCAAACTGGACCGAGCTTTGATAGTCTATTGGTTAGGCGGCCTCACATAAAATATTTGACCTCTCCCTTTCCTGGCTGTCTCAGTTAATCAAATGTCTTTGCCCATCAGGGTATACGAGTGATCAAATGAAATGATGGAAGCGAAACTTCACACACAAGTAAGACACTTTTGGTAATTAAGATTTCATAAAATCTTGAATAACTATAGTAACTATTAATCACCATTGGAAAACCATTCCATTTTGTATGCATCGATCCCAGTCCAGTGATATTACCGCTATAATTTTCAAATGAACGGATAGGAGTTTAAAATTTTAAAAATATTTTAAATGTCTCCAAAAATGTAGTATACCTTAAATACTTAATTGCATACACTTCTGATTTTATTTATCAGTAATAATCTATCTCAAACAACCAAATTTAGTAAGCTTTTTCCACAGGATTTCAACCTTGAATTTTATATTTTGGAATTATTCTACCATTTAATTACTTCTAAAATCTTGCTGTATTTCCATGTATTATACTTCTTTCCCAAAGATGTAAAGTAAAAAGCAAGTCATGTGATATATACCATTTTGAAATTAGTAAATATTTGATCAGAACAGTGATGGACTGCTATGTAGTGAATAAAAGAGTAGTATATTAGTTAAATTCATTTAGCTATCAGAATTCCAGAAACAACTGTACTGGCCGTTCATAGACAAACATGGCTGAAAGTAACCAGATTCCAAACATTCACTGAGTTCTACAATTGCTACCTGATTATTCAGTGATCTAATCTCATATCCATTGGTCAACCTGCAAAGGCCCTGAATATTTAGATATACAGAGCATGTCCTTATTTAGACTTTTGCTTCCTACGACACAGAAGCAAGAAAAATACATGTAAAATATGCTATGGAAAAATTCCAAGGGTGTGTGTGTATGTATGTATGTGTAAAACTGATATTTTCCACTGCCAGTTTGCTAATAAAATGAATATCAAAGAATCAATATTATTTGTTTACAATTAATGGACTCCACAGTGGTTATATAGAGACACTGGGATAAAATTAGCAACATTTATTTGTGAAGGGAAGCTTGAGAGTAGTCTTAAGGATTATATACCATCTAAACTCATTGGGCAGTCTTAACACCATGAAAGAGTGGGACGCGCAGAGCATGTGCCTTACACAGTAATGCAGCAGGAGATAGGTACCCAGCATGAGCTATGAAATGTTCTTGTCTAAAAATTGCACTTGAACCTGATCAAGCCTAAAGTTCTAAAAACAATGCATAATATTTAAATCAGATCAAATGTATCTATCACCTCATTCACCATTTCTATATTTTAAAATCCAAAATCCTTTCTTCTAGCTGTTTGATTTATACACTGCTTTGTTATTTACAGTCACTCTGCTGTGCGGTAGCACTCCAGAACTTCCTAACCCCTATGGCTGCAACTTAGAACCCATCAATCACCTTCTCCCCACATCTGCTCCCCTCTCTCTTCCCCAACCTGCTATCCACATCGTCACACCTTAATCACCATCACGCAGAAGTCCGCGGTGGGCAAGGGAAGGAAAACAAAACTTTTCACAAAAGGACTCAGTGCCTGCACTTCCCGGTGTGATACCTAATGCGTGAGTGCCTGCTCCTGACTCCAAAGGGAGGAGCTGGGGCTGTGGGGTCTTAGGGAGTTGTGGCTGATGCATCTGAAGAATACATGGAAGACAGAAAGAGATGATATCTGGATGTAAAGTTTCCTGAAGTTTTGAGATTAATATGTAAATTTTTCTCAGATTTTTGTTTTGCCTTCGTAAATAGTTTTGTTCCTGGAGCGTATGTTTAATATTTGTCCACCACCTCTCCAACATAACAGATATTTTTTAAGTTCATGAATAATATGCATCCCAAGTTGCCATGTACAGAGAAAAGAAGCTGCTCCACCCGAAAGAACCTCTGCTCACACCCTGTCCCTGTAAATCCCAGGGCCCACAGCTCACCACAGCCCTGCAGGGAGAGGAGAGAGGCATAACGTGGAGCAACTGCTGCAAGTGCGAATCACAGCACACCCTGATGTCTTGGAGCTAAGAGAAGGAAAAGTATATTTACACAGGACGGGATGCCAGACCTGAAAGTTCAGTGTGCTTAGAAATAGGCAGCGGCTGGGACAATGACAGAGGAAGCACATTGCTACAACAGATTGTATCCTTCATGTTTAATTTTCATTTAATTCCTAAAGAGGGTAGAGGTTCAAAGCAGTGACTCCCCCTCATCATCCTCATCCTCCAGAAAAACTTTCGCTGATCCCACAAATGCCAGAGCCTAGAAATATCCCATTTGTTACACCCTGAATCGATCATTTTTCATAAAGTACTTATTGACTGGAAACAATGTTCATCTGAGCCTCGGCCACAAAGTGGTGTTTCAACCCAGCGAGGATGGACATTTCCAGCCTGTTCCTGGGAACCGACTCATCTGTCATCATCTTCGCGCCCAGAGGGAGCAGTAAAAGTCCTCTCGCTGCCTCCTCCGTTCCTTAGCTGCTCCATATCACAAAAATACAGTTGCCTATTAAAGTATTCTCTGTTTTAAGCAGAAATAATTTTGTCAGCACACTCAAAACAGTGAACTAAAGTTAAATGATGGTATGAAAGTTCTGAACAGCAGGAATAGTTGAGTTGAGTTCAGCACGAGGTTACAAGAAGTAAAAATAACAGAGAAATTGAAATCAGATATGTTTAAACGCCTTTTAAATAGTTGTTTTTATTAAAGACAGGTAACAATATGCAGGGCCATCTGGAAGCAAAGAGTGTTTTTAATGGTCAAGAATTTGAGAACCAGTGAGAAATAATTAATCCTTATTGTAATGGTTTCCAAAAAGTCCCAGAATGTATATAAAATATTCACTGTGTTGCATTGATTATGAGTGGGACCTGGTGTATTCTGCTGATTTTTAGCTCAAAATAGTCTGGGAAACCCTAAAGAATTTTGGATTTACTTCAGGTCCTAAAGTAGATGACATCCAATCTATTTTTCTCATCTGTAATTTCCTTAGGGAAGGTGTTTTAAAAAATGGTTTCGGTATATGTAAAAACTGTGCTCTTAAGAACTGAGGTATCATTTTCTTTATTTTTCCCTAGTAAGATAATTAGTCATTAACACTGAGAGTTATTATTGATTTTTTTTAAAAAATTTTAAAATATTGATGTATTTTAGACCATAGATTCATTTTTCTAACAAGAATTTGTGAAGCACCTACTATATTTAAAAGAATGTGCTCAAAATTTAAGAACCCATTACTTAATACTTTCTCAGGCTTTTATTATTTTATAATGAATTCTTTTTCATTTTTTCCATGATACGAAATGTTTTAGTTAAAATGAAAATATCGGGGTCAGGCATGGTGGTGCATGCCTGTAATCCCAGCATTTGGGAGACTGAGGCAGGAGGATCATCAAGAGTTAGAGGCTAGGGGGCTGGGGATTTAGCTCAGCGGCAAAGCGTCTGCCTGGCAAGGGCAGGGTCGTGAGTTCGGTTCCCGGTACCGGAGAAAAACAAAAAAACAAAACAAAACAAAACAAAAAAAAAAGAGTTAGAGGCCAGCCTGCACTACAGAGTGAGTTCAAGGTCAGCCTGAACTGCACAGAGAAACGCTGTCTCAAAAAGACAAAAAATAAAAATAAAAATACGGAGAGAAAATAATGATTTCTAACTACTAACAAGTTGCTTTGTTCTTCAGTTTTTCATCTGGTATTAAATGTCATGGCCCAAAAGATTATACTGGATTATACTTTTAATACAAGCCCCAATTTATAGCATTTTAGACGAAATTTTGAGCCAGCTCCCATTGGTATTTGAAAGTGGCAATATCATGATTTTCCATATTTTATATTCTAGCATTTTTTCTCTTTTCTCAACCTGTTCTGTAGACAGGTTTCCAACTCTGTACCATATCTTCAAGTGTGATTCTACAGGAAATTTCATACAAATGGCAAATAGTCAGTATACTTCAGAAACAAATAATCCTCTAATTTGAAAACAAGTACATTTCATTTAAATGCAAAATGTACTTTCATTTCAAAAATCTGACCTTTATTTCCCACAAAACTCCTATGAAGAAATTCCATTCATGAATTTTATCTATACCAGAACAAAAATATCTAATTGCCTCTTCTATGAAATCTGTATTTATCAATTATGGCTTTCTCGGGGAAATTCTAATTTGCAAAAATGCTCTACATTCCAAGCTTTAACAGTTGGAGGTGGATGTCCTTAAGGATGGAGGGGAAAAAAGTTCTTTTTTAAATGGCACATTTACTAATTATAAAATGCTCTTATCTCTCTGCAGCCAAAGCCAAAATGAACATGTGCCTTGTACTAAGAAATCCCAGGATTGTCACAACTTGTGCCAGCTGTTGAGGTTATGACACCTGCGCCAGCATCGCCAGCTCTGCCCACTGTCATCTGTTCCAAGTGTTCCATCTGCACTGTTTGTACCAATTCTCCCATTTCTGCATCTGTACCTTCTGCAGAAACGTTTCCAACAATGCCAGCTGTGTCACTGATGCCAAATATGCCAGATGTTCTATTTGTCCACCCTGGGCCAAATCAATGTAGTTTTGTGCTCATTAGTTTTAGCTGGTAGATTCTATTTTACAATTTTTTGAGATGTATTTAGATTGAATCCGGGCAAAAATCCCCTTTGCAGTGATATTCCTTCTACCCGTTCATCTTTTTGCAACCCCAACTTTGAATCTGAAAACATGAAGTCAGCCGATGTTATTTTGATCATCTTAAACCAGCTGACGGTAACCAGTTCAATATTAATTGTGGTAGATAATTTCCTACAATGTAGAACTCTGTATCACAAAAACCACGGAACACAGCAACAAATTGGCAAAGTAATTAAAAAAGAATAAACTTTGTTCTGATACACAAATTGAGAATGCTCAGAAATCAATATGGTAAGCCGATTAGAGTAATCTGTGGCATAATGTCTCATTAAGCTTCCTGTTTATTGGTCTTTTAATTGATAGATTTAAACATGTGGATTAATGCTTATGTCATATATCCCCATTTTCTGTTTCTGCTCCAGAGAGTATCAAGCAAGGGTGCACATGGGTGGTAGGGCAAGACCCAGCTCTCTTGCTGCTTCCGATAGAACTAAGCAAGCTTAGGATCTTATCCTCCAGCTAGAATATAGCTTCTGCCCCCTCTCCTGAATGTCAATTCTGCTGGTGCCAACACAAACCATTCTTGTTCATAGACTCTTCCAGCTTTAAAAGTTGAAGGAGAAAAAGTATTTTCATACTCACAACCTCAATATTCTGCATCACCACAAACCAAAAAATAATGTTTTAATCATTCAGAAAAGTCTTTTTAAGGAGGCCAAAAGCTCAGTCTCTGCATTTTAACCCACATTCTTTCCTTGCAAATCATTTTCAAAGGTGCAGGATGAATGCACCATCTGTCATTTAAAAATCAGGAAAGAGACGTCCAGAGAATGTGTGGCTACCACTTATTTACTCACCCTGGGTTACTCAGCTTGCCTCTTTCAGTGACAAAAGCTGCACCTTGCTCACTAATGCTTAGAAGAGTTCATGATTAAATTCTTGACAACAAACAAATGACAGTTCATGGTGAGCTGCCGTGAAGAAATGTCTCAAAAGCTTTGTCAAGTTTTCAAAATCTATACAGAAAACACAAAGTTTCCATAGTGAATCACCAAACAGACTATCCTAAAAGTAATGAACTGAATTTAAATATGAGGGTAAAACTCCGGGTAATATCTTATCTTTCCAGACAAGGATCGTTTTGCTGAGGCAGCAGACCCACAAGGGCAGACTCAGTTCCCAAGTCTGGGCAGATTTGGTTTTCATTCCACATACTCGTCCTACATAGTGTCAGTGATTATTTCTCCATGTCTCAAGTCATTTACTCTCCTATTGGAGATTTACCTATTTCTGACCCTTTCCCTGTAAACTTTTTCTACCCTTTGAACATAAAGATGAGATTGAATAACTATCTATTCAGGAAAACGGTAGCTTTCTATGAAAATATGCCCAGCTCCTAGTTAGAAGGATCCAATCTGAGTCTGTTGACCCTACTTCTAGAAATGCCATAAACTTTGAAAATTCTAACTCCCTATGTTGCAAGATGCCATCGGAAGGAACATCTTTAATTAGGATTAAAATAGTCTGTGACTCGTTGGGAGTGCACCCTGTACCTTCTCAGTACATTTTAATTAATATAACTTCTGCTCCCTGCTGACAAAGATGTTTCTGATGGTTTTGGCCCAACATATTTACCGCCTTCATTGATGTGAGTCACTTGAACACTTGGAGAAAGCCACAAACTTCATGGTTTCATGGAAAATAGGGAACTGAGTGTTAGAATTGCCAGGTGGGCATAAAGAGCTGAGAGTATTTTTCATCATCTATCTGACCTTCTTTATGTAACTTCTTGATATGGGAACCAGAAGAGCTCTTGGATTTGCACATAAAGAAAAGAAACAACACATTTCAAGGTTTCAATAGACAAGCAGAGAAAAAGACCTGATTGTTTTAGACATCTGCTATCATTGCATCTAGCTTCTCTTTTAGAAAGTTGTTTTTCTGGAATGTGTAAGTTGCCATAGAGGACAAGTCTGTCCCTTGTTTCCCTGGCTATTTAAAAAAGAGAACCCCATCCTCTTTCCTTGAGTGCTCGTCTTCCTGCTTGCCCATTCTCACTGTCCACACTTTCAAACTCAGAAGAAGAGTGGGAACTCTAACCTTGTTAGTCGCATGATTGTTTGGTGCACTAGTAAACTGCTTCCTTCACAAGAATGGCAGCAGTCGCTCGATCAATATTCATTTAAAGAGTATAAAACGAGGTAAAAACTTATGCTGAAATGTCATGGCCTCCGTGTAACTGAGTACTTCGGCTGCTATTGTCATTTTCATCATTTTCTCACTCATTTCTACACTGTGTTATTTTCAGGAAAATGACATTATTTGACTCACTGATGTTCCAAGACTTGTATTTGGCTCCTAAATGGCAGTCTTCAACCCCAGTGTTGATGTATGTAGACAAGCTATCTATGTATAGAAGTCTGTCAAAACGTAGAAGAGTTTGAGAGAGTGGGACAGAGGTTGACATTAAATAAAGTAAGGCAGCCATATAAAAAGAATAAGTCACTGCACCAAATCAATAGGATCAATGGGAGGAAGTGGATTGTCTTAGTTAAATGAAACAAAGCGATCAGAGAGCATTAGGATTAATGATTCACAATGTAAATGAACCATCAAGTAGAAAACAGTCATAAAGATTTGCTAATCCAACCAGAAAACTGAGATCCTGAGAGGCTAAGTGGTATATCCAAGCTCAGACCATTCATTAATGGTGAAACCAAACCTAGAACCAGATTCTCCATGCCTCAGTTTCTTCAAATACAAAATGGGGATGGCAGTAACTGTACTGAACCAAGAGATTAAATGAGTAAACAGGTACAAATATAGCACTTAGTAGATGCTAATAAGTAGTAAATGCTATGTCTTCATTGTGATGTCATTGCCATCGTTGATAGCATTATTAGAATACCTGAGCCTGTATGACTTTATGGTTTACAGGATCACACTAACTGAATCTTGCAAATCTCAGCATTAATTTATAGTCATACTTTTTTTCCTGGGCTATAGGATTATATTATTCCCATGCTTTTATTTTGACCATCAAATTTTTGTTATTTTGAACAAAAGAAGTTGGGGTATAAATCTGGAATTAAGCAATGCCCCAATAGTTTGACTTTCTGGTTACTTCCCTGGCACACAATACTGACATTTAGTTGATGCAGGGAACCCTGAGGTGCCCAAGTTAATGGAAGGAAGCAAATGCATGCTGAATGACACAAAAACAGCAGCATTTGATTTTGGAAGGGAAGTATGTTCTACATCAACACACATCCACAGGTAGCAATACAGATACTTTCCAGATACTTCTTTTGTCCCTACTACAGGTATGTGGGTTCTGAGCAATAGCAAGAAGGAGACCACTGGGGTTCCTGAATGAATTATGCTGGGAAATTATAAGAAGATGAGGAGAGGAAGGAAATTATAGTTACATCATAAAACTCATGCCTCATTTCTAAATCACTTTTTTTTTTTTTGCTTGCAGTGCTGGGAGTTGAACTTGGGACCTTGAGCATGGTAGGCACATGCTGAGTCACTGAGTTACATCCCCAGCTCCTGTAAAGCACTTTCTACTTCTCAGTTTTTTATTACCATCTTTTGATCCAAGGCCTCAGTATTTGGTGGTTCATCAAATCATCTGGGGAATACGGGCTTTCAAGAAACAGAATGCCAGGGCATGGGGTGTGGCTCGGAGGCAGACAGCATGCTTACTTAGTCTGTGTGAGGCCTTGGGTTCAGTCCCCAGCAACCCTTTCACCTTCCAAACAAGGGTTCCAGAATAATTGAGTGAGACTCTCTTGGGGATGAGCACTGGGTATCTATGGGGTGTGTGTGTGTGTGTGTGTGTGTGTGTGTGTGTGTGTGTGTGCTGGAAATGAAACCAAGAGCCTTGAACATTCTAGGCATGTGCTCTACCACTGAGCTACATCCCAACCCCAAGGTGTCTGCATTTGTAAAACACTTACCAGGACATTCTGATGCACTGGATTAAAAACAAAATGAAACAAAACAAAACATACCTCTCCAAGCCAAGCTAGTGTTTTTCCTCTTCATTAAACCAGCCTCCTGGCTGAGAACACAGCCCAGTGGTAGAACACTTGCCTAGCACGCACAAGGACCTGGGTTTCATCCCCAGCACCCTACCAAAACCAAAACCAAAACAGCCTCCCCATGGGGAAACTTTAATAAGTTTAAAGTAATATTTAGACCTAGAGAATGCTGAGCTTTAAACAGGAAACATTACTTAATTAAAAAGATTGGCATGAAGCTGGGTTAATTTTTCCTGTCAGCTTTTAATCCCAGTGTCATTTCTTGCCTTATCTTAATCCATTTAAGTGGGACTTTATCACAAAAGCCAGAGATAGAACATTGTCTCCTGAGTTTGCTCCATGTGCTCCTGTAGGAGTTTACCTTGTTATTAACCTTGTTACAACTCAAGATTAATCATAACAAGTGCTGGAATGAGTAATATTACAGACAAGTTGAGAAATGGGTCACTGTCCTGGTATTTAGTGCAATCGCAAGTATACAGTGAGATCCAAATCTAGCATAGGATCCTAAGTATAAATCCATAGAGTACTGGGCATATGATAGATGGCTTTTTTGGAGCAATCATTTCAAATCATGTTTTGTTTTTTGTTTTTTGTTTTTTTTTCTGGTATCTGGAATTGAACTCACGACCTTGTGCTTGCCAGGCAGGCGCTGTGCCACTGAGTTAAATCCCCAGCCCCTCAAATCATGTTTAAAGCAGTTTGCAGTGCTCTTCTGCATGGAAGCAGAGTTGCCCAACCTGTGGACCACAGCAAATTTGTATGGCCCAGATGGTTCATGGGAGTGCCAAGATAGTGACCCCTGCATCCTGGGGCCAGCCAGAGCTTCTGGGCTACTTGCCTTCAGACATTAGCATCCTCAACCCCTTGTCCATGCAAATATTACCATCTTCTGTATGTGCCATGTCATAAAGAATGCTGGAGAACAACACGAACTGCCCAAGCCAAGCACTGGAGCAGCACTCGCTAGATAGCTAGGTTTCTGGACCAGCAGCATGCAAAAAAGAACCAATGGGTGGTGACCATGTTTTGTGTTTTATTTTAATGCAAAGCAGATATCACATATGATTATAATTTCTTAAAAGAAAGGAGATTATTGCACTACTTATTTCTAAAACACTTTATATTAGTTTACATTATGCATGAGATGTAGCCCAAACATACACTACCAATCAAATATTTTATCAAGAGGAATTGTAGCTTTTCTTCTTGATTTTTAT